CTTTTCGCCGTGCCACTGGGCTGGGAGTGAGCAAGGGTGCGTGTGTGTGTGCGTGCGTGCGCGCGTACATGCGCGCGTACATGTGTGTGTGTGTGTGTGTGTGTGTGTGTGTGTGTGTGTGTGTGTGTGTGTGTGTGTGTGTGTGTGTGTGTGTGTGTGTGTGTGTGTGTGCGTGTGTGTGTGTGTGTGTGTGTGTGTGTGTGCGTGTGTGTGTGTGTGTGTGTATATGTATATATATTCATATATACACATGTGTGTGTATGTGTGTGTGCGTGTGTGTGTGTCGCGCGCGCATTTTCAAGAGGGTACCTAAAGTTGCAAACATTTTTTATGGTATTCGCCCTACTGTAACTGACTTCTCTGGCGATGCTTCATGTCTTCAGACCCGTGTGCCTTATGAATATCTTATACCTGACATTGGTAGCGTCAACATTTCATCTATCTGTCATTCTGACATTCTACCTATGAATTCAAGTTGTCATCAATAACAGGGAGTTTTGATTGTTTTTTTGGCAACGACTTGTGGTAGAAATTTGCATCGATACACTTCATGGACATTTCCAATCGCACTTCACGTGTACAGTGAGGAAAATCAAACTAAAAATAGAGTTGTTTTGGATATTACTTATTAATATTGGATATTATTTATTATAAATCCCAACAAGTGGAGAAGGGCCATTCTGTCCCAGCGCGGGTTCTCTACCGGCTGCCATTCCAGCAACACGGGGGGAAGACTCCTAGTCGATCCGGAGGTTCTTAGAGGGATGTATCTTACACTGGTCCCATCCCTGACGCGAAGGGCCCTCTGGCTCAAGCTTTGGCCCCAGATCGATGCAGGAACTGTCATCGATGCAACAAGATTACATAGCCGCAGGTGGTTCAATAATTAGCGCGGAGTCTCCTATTCGGCTCCATGGGCCCTTAGCTAAAATTGTATGGATCCCCTGTCCATAACGGAGCCCCTGACTGACACAGGGTACTTAAATGTCTCACTGTGGTTTCTCGTTGAAAGCCCGCATGTCTTGTTTTATTGTCAGAGAGACCCGACCAACGCAAGAGGCCATCTGGCATTTGGAGCCAAGTGCCTGTCCCTGTTCAGCAAATGTACACTGGCCGAATCGGGGCCTCTTGCCGACACAGGGCCCTCTGTCAAGCACTGTAAGCCCCCGACGTACACAGAGGCCCTCATTGTTTCAGTGCGTCCCGACCAGAGCACATAGCGGGTACCAGCCTCGTCCCTGCCGGCCGTTCGGTGTTGGTGGTTTCTGGTCGAAACAAACGCTACATTGTTTCCGGGGTCTCCTATCGGTGTAACAGACCCTCTGACTGATATTTCAGGTCACGGACCTGCGATTGAGAGTTCTTAATGTGATGTACAGCCAACCCTTCAGCACTAAAATCGGATCCTCGCTCGTCTGTCCCGAAGGGCCCATCAGATCCCTATTCGGGGCCCCTCAATCATCACCCTTGACTGACTCAAGCCCCTTGCCAACACAGGACCCCTGTCAGGCACTGTGAGCCCTCTGGCCTACACAGCGGCTCCTCATTCACTCAAGGGCCTTGAGCTACGTCAGTTTGGCCCCAGCCAGGTCCCTGCTGGAAAGCTGGACCATTAGACCCTGACCGACACTGAGCAGACTGTCCGGTACCAGTGATGCCTGACCGACCTAGAGGCCCTCATGGGCTCAGCGGGACCGCATTCGGCGCTAACGGTCCTCTGACTGGCGTATGAAGGTCTGACCCGCAGGTCCGGGACGCCTAATGCGACCTGCGCCCAGCCCTTTGACACCTAGTCGTTCATCCCCAGGGGCCCGGGAACTAAGGGGGGTCTGTTTCCCCTCCCTTCTGTCTGCAACACTGACTGACGTATTACAATACGATCAATGGAGATGTTATGCAAGACTGAACAAGCGCGCTCAGGCGGCACCAGGCACATATCGCAACTGCATCTGCAATAGCATCGCAGTTGCATTGGCAATGGCAGGGCACTCCAGATGCTGTATTTAAGCATTAGTAATTCAAGGCCATAATCTTCTTGAACTTAAGAAGATCAGTGTCGTTTGCATGCAAGTACCCATAAACACATTTAGCTGAGAAATGGGGGATTACCGATAAAGCACCCCGTTGCACAGCCAGGTGAAAAGTACGCTCAGCCGTGCTAAACCTGTTTTGCACTGATCTAACTTATTATGACGTTGTCATCAGCATGCTCGTCAAACTGATGTTGACGTGATGGTTCATAACAAAGCATTCACGGAGGGACAAGCGTATGGACACCGTATAAACGAACAATTTGTTATGTTCGACCCAGTTTGACCTCTGGCGGTCTGACCCTTTACCCTCTGTCACAGTCCGGCCTCAGGCCTCAGGCCTCACTGACACCAAAAATTGATTAGACATATCAAAAAGCAAGTAGCATATCCCCATTGCCAATAAGTAGGTTGTGTTGTCAGACTGGCGAAAGAACTGACTGACATGGCCTCTACAAAGGAGTCATAGATCATGACCAATTCGGTCAAGTCTTGAAAAACTGAGGAACAATAAAATTTGTACAAAATCAGCTCCCTAGCCGGTCAGCTTAATGTGATTGATTATTACCAAGTTATTTAAGAAAAACCTTAAGAAGGCCGTCAGTCCTGTTCCTCTCCAGGTTAAAGTTAAGCCATATACCCACGGTATGGCTCAACTACTATCTTATTTTTCTCTACCCGCTACATTATCTTTCGTGATTACACCACGATCAATCAAAGAAGGGCTTGATAAAAGGCACTTTTATTTGACATCCCCGTCGTCCGTGGCGTTAGTAGACAGCTTGTTATCATTGCCTTCAAAGGCTCTACTTAAAATTGCCATGTTTGCAATGATGACGCGCCAAGGAAATCAGCCTGCTATTGTTTCACATTTACTCAGAGTTTCTGTAAGTTCGTAAGCATTGGATCGAGGACCGATTAGCAGCCTCCCGATCTACACTACCGACACCTCCCTGGCTGTCCCAGCACCCAGTTTCTAACCTTTATCTCATTCATCTCATCTGTGATACAGCCGTGGGATCTGACCACGTCTTGTTTTGATCCTGACAAAAATGACGCCATTTAATGGGAATTTGCAAGTTTGACAGGCGAGAAGGACAAATTGGCATTACAGATTATACAGAGTCGTTTTGATTTTTTCTTCAAAAGTCAAGGGTCTCAGCCTCTTTTTTTACAAGCCTTTTTCTACAAAAAAGGCGATTATCACTGACAGCTGCAACTGTGACAGCCTTTCAGAAAGATCCTAGCAGTTGGACAGATGAAATTCTAAAAGTGACCCTATTACTTTAAATTATAGCAGAGTGCAATATTCGAGTGCGGTTGATTAATACACTATTTATAAAAGACGATAAAAAAGACCATGTTCTATGAGCGTGTGGGTCGATATGACCATTAACTAGTGCACTATCTAGTCGCTTATCAAGTCTGGACATTGACTTTTTTACATTTCGCCATTGTCTATTTCAGTTGTTTTCAGTGCTTTTTTCAGTGGTTTTCAGTGGTTTCAGTGGTTTGACATTTTGGTCTGGAGTCTTTCTCCAAGTGTTTCTCTGTTTCATAGTTCGTCATGTAGCAGATCGCTATTTAAACGTCTCGCTTTTGCTACATGTCACCATGTTGCAGTCTGCCACTTAGCCGATTTGACTTTATGACGTGCTGACATTTTTGCTCGTCGCCAATGTAGCTGTCGCCATATATCAGTCAACAGAAACTCATTGGGCAAACTGCGCTCTAATTTTTGTAAAGACGTCAACTTAATAAGGTGCTTCGGTTTTCTGTTCCTACGAAAAGAAGGGACACAGAGCGGACAGGACCATGCTAACAAGGCTGGGCATCCAAAGATGCACGAGTTGCGCTTCGTAGTTGTGACATATTAATGACTGTTTTATTAGTGGCCATGGGGTGTGCTGAATTGTAATGCCTTATCGGGGGGACTGCCATGGGCATAAAGTACTGTTCGGTGAAGTTTCTCCCATCTACTTCCATTACAAAAGGGTGCCAAGGAATGGAAACGACGCATGTTGTGTGGTGGGTTCCAGAGTGGTAGCATTCTTGTATTGTTAATTACTTTATTTGAAATATTTGACCATGGGCACTGCTTGAAAACGTCAAATTTTTACAGTAGACATGGATGGTTATTAACGTTGTTTAACCAGTTCTTCAGCAGCAGCAAATCGCTCATTAAACGGCGAGCAGTGGTTTTTCTTTAGCAAACGAATCACAAACGAATTACAAACGGATTGGTGCTGACTGTTTCCAGATCAGGTCAACGTATGGCACGATCGCAGTCACGGGGGAGCTGGGCTAGGGGTAGAGGTAATGAGCACGGGTGAAGGAATGCGGGTGTACGCGTACGGAGTTGAGAGCTGGAAACATGATGGTTATGCGGCGTTTGTCATTACGCCTTAAGTGACGTCGCGGTGGTTTCAACTTGCAGATATGAAGAGAGTGTTGCCAGCGATGCGCAGAAGATGGGCGCTGTTTACTCTCCGTCGATTGAGAGATCCAACCGGTTTGGTGCGTGAAGTCTATGCGTCAGCCCGACACACAAGTGGAGAAGACAACTCTAACGGCTTTGTAATGTTTATACATATTGCTCTCACACCACACACAGGGCCCACCACACACATTTTACACACTAGCTTGCTCCATTGCAGTCCGAGTGAACTGTGGTATATTAATGTGAGACAGGCATTCCCAAAAAAAACTCAGTGGCAGAACGTAGTTATTCGTATTCCGATGTGGGAGCCAATGCAATGGTTATCGGATTGGTCACCGATATAATTTTTAGATGCATTATTACCTTAGGATCCATCTTTTTCTGAAACTTTCGAGGCATACATTCATAACAGTAAAGGGACGCTGAAGCTCCGCAAAAGAAACCGGTCATGGTTGCATCAGCCCGTTGCCGTGCATGTATAAATACCTGGCGGTGCCTGGCGAAGTCTGGTACCTGGCGCGGGCCGCGAAGTGGCCTCATCGCTCTGTGCAACTGCTGGCACGTCGCGCTGTGTTGCATCCTTCACAGGAACCGCTCCATCACATCATGCACCGCCTCTCAGCTCTGGCTTTGGCGATTGTGCTAGTGTCCCGCTGCCAGGCGGCAACACGTGTGGCACGTGCTGTATCAGTTTATCCAGCGTCATCTATTACCCACCCAGGTGAGACGGCCCTGGATGAATTCACCGTCGTTTTCAAAGCACTATTGAGCCAACCGGTGCTCTGCTGGCTTAGTGCCGACTCTGCATGCCGTATAAACGCCTGAGCGCGAGCCCGACATTGTGACACGCATGCACCGCATCTTATTGGTATTATTACTACCTTATCATTCTATTATATGTGCCGCATCGGCCGACGGCAGACTGAAGAAGGGGCACCCAGTGTAAATGCTTCAGCGATGTGGGAAGTTGTGAAAGTTGACCAATGATTGCAGCTTTTGTGTCCACTTGGAGAGTGGCTCCCCCTGGCTTGCGCTCCAGCCACTTCTTGATTTTGCTTTGTTCGCCCCCGCCCTCCTCCCCCGCCCCCTATGGAAAACTGAGGCTTTTGTTTGTTGGATTAAGCCATTGCAAACATGAAGCACGCAGAATAAACTTGACTAGTTACGGTTTATGGTGGAGAGGCCTTTGTATTTAAAACATGTAATAACATGTAATAAGTAATATATACTGTTGGGCGCTGGCGCTGGCGAGCCTGATCGTGCTGCGTGATGCCTGGGTGTTCAACGTCTTTCCGTCCCTTGCGTGCCAATGCATCTACGTAAATCACCTAAGGATCTTCCCCAGTGACTTTTCAAGATGGTGTTGCGCCATTTTTGTGACTTCATTCCACTGTCGGTGAATTTCCACATCGCAAGTGACTTCGGTGGGTGCTCTTGAGCGCTTCTTTGGATTTGTTTGAACAGAAGACCACCAGTGCCCTTGAGCCCCAGTGCACCGAGCTACCTCCAACTCACAATCAAGTGATGTTCCCCGTACGTCGTTTCCTTTTTCACAAAACTGGGAACAGGATCTAACATCAGTCCGAAATTCCCTCTCCCTGGCTTCACTGATAAATATTAAACACAATTTCAGTTTGTTTAACGTTTCCTTCTTTCTTTTATTGGATATTATTTATAATTAATCCCAACAAGTGGAGAAGGGCCATTCTGTCCCAGCGCGGGTTCTCTACCGGCTGCCATTCCAGCAACACGGGGGGAAGACTCCTAGTCGATCCGGAGGTTCTTAGAGGGATGTATCTTACACTGGTCCCATCCCTGACGCGAAGGGCCCTCTGGCTCAAGCTTTGGCCCCAGATCGATGCAGGAACTGTCATCGATGCAACAAGATTACATAGCCGCAGGTGGTTCAATAATTAGCGCGGAGTCTCCTATTCGGCTCCATGGGCCCTTAGCTAAAATTGTATGGATCCCCTGTCCATAACGGAGCCCCTGACTGACACAGGGTACTTCATTATCTCACTGTGGTTTCTCGTTGAAAGCTCGTATGTCTTGTTTTATTGTCAGAGAGACCCGACCAACGCAAGAGGCCATCTGGCATTTGGAGCCAAGTGCCTGTCCCTGTTCAGCAAATGTACACTGGCCGAATCGGGGCCTCTTGCCGACACAGGGCCCTCTGTCAAGCACTGTAAGCCCCCGACGTACACAGAGGCCCTCATTGTTTCAGTGCGTCCCGACCAGAGCACATAGCGGGTACCAGCCTCGTCCCTGCCGGCCGTTCGGTGTTGGTGGTTTGTGGTTGGTGGTTGGTGGTACGGCTCAACTACTATCTTATTTTTCTCTACCTCCTACATTATCTCTCGTGATTACACCACGATCAATCAAAGAAGGGCTTGATAAAAGGCACTTTTATTTGACATCCCCGTCGTCCGTGGCGTTAGTAGACAGCTTGTTATCATTGCCTTCAAAGGCTCTACTTAAAATTGCCATGCTTGCAACGTATTTTCTTCCAATGCCCTTGACTCAGCAAGGTTGCTCGGGTTCCACGGTTGTTCTTTTTCGCACACTAGTGAAGCACCTTTCTTCTGTTTGTGTCGTGCTTGGTTGCTCCACTGTTGACTTCCAATCTACGGGTCCGATGTGTAGCCATTCGTCCGTGTACAGGCCTCTGATAATCGGTGCCTCTTTAGCCGGTACCCGCACAGATGAGGACCGGGTGGGAGTTGAAAATTAGATTGGACACACGCATTGGACGGATTGAAAGCCAATAAAACGGAAGCAGGTACTGATCGCTCCCTGAAATGCTGAACTACAAGTTGCATAAAAAAGAGCTTGAAATCAACAGCAGACCTTCAAATCAACCATTAGCGTTCATGACAAAGCGTGCACATAGAGGATCTCATTTGTAGTAAGACCGCACTAACAAATTTTCTCGTAAAGAGGTTGCACCAAGCAGTGGCAAACGTGAAGAAGATTTTCTAAAACTGTAGCTCGAGTTCCTACAAAGGTAACTGGAATGCCTACTAATCCAAAAACGTACTCCAATATAGCATTACCAGCCATTCTGATGCTGCCAGCAATCCCACTTAACCTACGCAGGCGACATTGCAATTTATGGTGCGAAAAACTGCCCTTTGTTGGCAGAAAGCACAGCACCAATTTTGAAAATCCCAGCAATCGTCCCAGAAAATAATCAGATGTACATCATGGGAACTAACACCATGGCCAAATTCATGCTGCCCAGTTGCCCCATTTGGAATTATCTGTCAGCAAACATTGCTGCATCTTCACAAGGAAACGTTCTGACCAGCCTCCTTAAATAAGAACGAATAAGTTGTACTCCACCAATAAGGATCAAATGTAAATATGTGACGCTCAGCAGACTGCTTGACATGAATTATTGTCGGCGTTTAACAAGAAGTAGGCGTACGTGCTGGCTGAGTTTTATTCGGCTATATTTTGCCTCATTTCATGACACAAAAGGGTATTGTGTTTCAGAGATACAGCAGCTATAATGTGCTTGATATGCAATATCTTAGAAACCCGGGACTTTTATGGCTGTGTTTCGCGAGCAAGTGGGACATTTTAGAGTCACATGGGTGCATGACATACCAGTCACATAATAAATGCTTATCCGAGTGATGAGCTCAATCACTTCACCTCAAGTGTGTCAAACACCTGTTCTTTGATACTGACCGCAGCTAGCATCCTGATCCGTTTCGAAACCATTCACAATGCATCTCAAACGAAGATGGGAGCCGACGGCATTCGAGTCTCTCCGATAGCGTTGAAGAATACGAATGTTCGCTCAAGGGACTTCCCAGACGGGATATTAGTTTAGCCGACAGAAAAAAACATTCTGCATTTGGCCAGCAAAAACATGTCAAGACATTACCCGTGTTTGGATTTCCGATTTGACGAATATAGGCATAGACAATGGAGGCAACATAATCTCCGCCTGGCATTCTGCTACCAAGACCTAACGCCATTGCTTTCTACCCAAACACCAAGGCCGAACATATGGATCATTTGACAGCCAGCCCAGCCCCAATTCATCACACAGCGAGGAACCCGAACGGCGCACCGTCGTATATCGCCCCCGGCAGTCGCCCGGGCGGTGGCGACCGTCGGCTCGCAGCTGGACCCTGCCCCAGGGGCATGCTGTTGACCTGTTTGGACTGCCGGTGGCGGCCAGCAGCGGTGGCCCGCCCTCCGGGCGACTTATCTACGCTGGCAGGCAACGCGGTTCATCCCGGTTCGTAACGCGTTTAACTGGCCGACGGGAACGAGCGCGGTGCGCCGGTCGGCGGTGGTCACGTGAGCAGTACCCCCACTCCAGCCCCCCCCCCCCCAAGAGCCAGACAGTTTTTTTCCTTTTTTGTCGGTGCGGCCAATTTCTAATCGGTTTCGGGTCTGTTGCTGGTGATGATATCAAGTGATTGTCTGGTTACGTTGTTGAGGCATTGTTGTTTGTCAGCTGCTCGTCTTTACATACAATTGCATTCATCTCGAAACGTATAGCTTTGCCGAAGTGTTTCAACCGATAACTTTCTGCGCCCGGTCATAAATGGAGCGAAGGTGCAGATACTTCGTGCGCTCCATCAAAAGCAGTGGCATGAGAAGTGACACTGCCGACTTTTTTTCATTTATTTCTTACAGCCCCGAATGCAGGTTTTCTGGAAATATATTCTGGTGTCACTCGCTCTGTAATCACAAATGTTCCTCTGACAGCCTCGCCTTCTCTTCATCCTGCAAACTCCTCCAGCTCTGCAGGTGGCGACTAAACCACTTCCATCGAGTGTTCCGACTTCTGGCAACTTAAACAGCATGTTTGAACCACAGTTTTATAAGTCACCAACATCCAGGGGATTAAACCTGCGATGCTAAATGACGATAAAGTTCCGCTGATAAATTAAAGGGATTAAACATGCGGTGATACACCAGCGAGATGCTAAAACCAAAGCAGCGAATACTCCTCCCGGCGGCCACATCTTGACAACGCACGCTTGGGCTGAAAGCCAGGGAGGTACGGACTCTTTACCCTTTTTGGAGCTCAAAGTCAACTACGGAGCACAGTGTCACCCAGACAGGAGAATATGTGAATGCATTCTTATAAGAAGTCAGCGACAGTCGATTTACGGCTCTCTTCGGCGTGAGCGACACGTTCGAGACAGATTTTTATGAGACGAATAGTTATCTTCGAAACATTGCTCCACGACTTCAGCAATGTCACAAACCCGACCTTAACCTTGTAATCGGCACTTTCTATGGACGTGTTGGCAGAGCTCGCATCAAAGGGTCATATCTCGCTCGCATATCACATTTCTATGGGGTTTTGAACTGAAACAGCCATCTTGAAGATCATTTGTGCAGTTCAAAGCCCTGTACTTCTGAAGACCAAGCCCCTTAGTTTCTAAGCTTCAGACCCGCTAAGATGTGCATGCTATTGCGGGGAGACCACTTAAAGGTCACCCAGGCATCCCTGACACTGACATCTGGCGTGCGTGAGCACGATTTCCAGATATAACGGCCGTCAATTAGCTCACATTCAAGGTTGTGCAGGCTACGCAACGTATTCAAACAATGATGCATTGAGGGACGTATTTACTAAACAGAGCCATTGCGTTGTCTGGAGCTATCGTTTCCACCTGAAGTTGTACCAATAGCAACAAGTGGGCTTTTTTCATGATTGTAATGTTTGCTTCGCTATCTTCAAATGTTGAA